CGCCAAATTAAGGATTTAGATATGTAAGTTTATGCTAGCAAGCACAAGTATCTTAAGTTAAGTTGTTCGTTGGTTTATATGTTAGGTTGAGGTATGCATGCATATAAGCATGATGTGTGTGTTTGAGCATGAAAGGTTCCTTATGATGGGAACTACTGACTGGGTATTTTTTTATACTCATTCCATGTTGTTTCAATTTTTTCTACAGATAGTTATATAGTTGACGAGAATAACGTCGAGGATGACCGGGGCATTGACGAGGAGGAGATATGAGACACAGTTGAATTTTATTTATAATTTATACTTTTAATTATGACTATACCACATTTTTACTTGTTTTATTTAAGGATAATAACTTTGTGATTTCCGCTGCTAAAAATTTATAAGTTAAGTCTTATTAAGTTATCGTTTTCATTTTTAGATGAAAAATACAAGTTTTTATATTATTTTATTTTAATGAAATTATGTTTTATGAGTAATTATCTCAATCTTATATTATTAATGACATATAAAAATTGGGGTCATTACAAAAATGGATCCTGAACCATGGTTTTCAGATATGGTTAATTATGTAGCCAGTGGAATCTTGCCACCTGACATGTAGAAACAACAACTGAAAAGATTCCTCCATGACAGCAGGTTTTATTACTGGGATGAACCCTGTATGTATAAATTGTGCAAAGATCAAATTATGCGCAGATGTATGGAAAATACTAAGGCATTGACAGTGTTAGAGCATTACCATTGTGCTCCGTTTGGTGGCCACTTTGGAGGATAGAGAAGAACAACAAAGATTTTGCAATGTGGATGTTATTGACCATCAATCTTCAAAGACGCATACTCGTATGCAAAAAATTGTGATAAATTTCAAAGAGTAGGAAACATCTCTAATAGGTCTGAGATGCCCCTGAACTTTATCCCAAAGGTAAAACTTTTTTATGTTTGGGGCATAGACTTCATGGGACAGCTTTCCCACCATCAAACGGTAACCTCTATATCCTTCTGACAGTAG